AGAACCACATCCTTTGCTGCAATGGCATCGGTAGCTTTCGACAGGACCGTCTCATATTTCAGAGGTTCCGGTGCCCTTCGCGATTTCCACATGTCTTCAACTGAGCGCAGTCTCTCGATGTCGCCATTGAAGACCTTGTCGAAGAGCATTTGGGAAAACTCAGGGGTACCCACGGCATCTCGAATCTTCTTTAGGGCCTCCGACTCCTTCTTGAGTTCTTCGATCTCTTGGTCTATTCCCACTTAGTTGCCTGTGCAAATAAGAGACTCAGTAAACTCACCATTGTCTCCATCGGAAGTGTGGTCGAACGCGGCTTGGTCTTCACTGGTGCCGAATATCTCGCTGTAATAAGTCATGAGCAGATGCCTTCAAGCTTCGCACATTTCGCGAGTACTGACTTAAGTAGATAGCTTTTGCCCCAGACGATGCAATGAATGGGCTGGCTGGGTGTGCTGCGGATGGTGCAGACAGGGAACGACTTGGGCGTCTCCTTGGGCGTACAGTCGTAGCATGCCGTCACACCTTTTTTGATCACCTGCACTTGGCCGTTGAAACCGGTGGTGCCACTCTCGATAAGTGGAACGTCGGCAGCCAAGCACATCTTGTTCACATGGCGTCTCGCATCTAAGTTGTCGAGGGCATTGAAGGCAATACGAAATTCGCGGAACCATGAAACCGAGAACTCATCGTCCTTGATGTTGGCGTGGTGAGCCACAATCTTGACGCTCGGGTTGAACCTCTGGGCCACCTCTTTGGCAACCTGCGATCTTGTTAATGGTATATTTCGGCGCGGATTCCGATCGCTGTACTTACCAAAGCCTTGGACTTTTTTATATGCTCGTGCCCGAAGAGAAACTGTCGGTTCAGGTTGGAGAGATCGATGGTGTCAAGATCGACGATGTGGATTTCGCCGAAGCCTGTCAGCACCAGGTTCTTGAGCAGCTCACAGCCAATGCCGCCAGCGCCAACCATCAGCACACGAGCCTGCGCAAGCATCGTTAGCCACAAGGACGAAGAGGCATCGGGATGAAACTCGCGATCGGATCGAATATTCGGGGCAGGGAGGTCGGTCAGGATCGTCGAGACAGGCCATCGTGGGGGGCGGCGTTTTTGGACTCGGCAAGGAATCGGTTCGGGGGGACGGCAAACGGGTCGGACGTACCTGCTTGACGGAGGAGTTCAGAGACGCGCCCAGCGACTGGTGGTTGAATCTATCGCGCGGCCGTCGTTGAGGCGCGTTTTCGGTCGCAGCAGGCTGTTGCTGGGGTCGTTCCCGGGGTTGCTGCTGCTGTTGCTGCTGCTGGGGTTGCTGTTGCTGCGGCACCGTACCTGCGGGTGCAGCCTGGGCCTCGTTCACGGCGTTTGTCGCATCCATCGTGAGCGTCATCATCGTCGTCGTGGCCACTCAACGGACGCAGAGTGCGGTTCGGGAGATGGTTGGAGAAGAGTCGAGAGGCTGCGCGCATGCAGTCGCGAGAGGTGCGGACAAAGGAGAGACGAGGTTGCGCGTGGTGCAGCTGGGTCCTAGTCCTGGTTGCGCTCGCTCGTAGTGAAGGCACCTGCTGCATAGTGGATGCGGTGGGTGCCGTTGGTGGTGAGAGCTGAGACGCAGGGCTGTGGGCCAATGGCGTCGGCGCAAACGCCCCGGGGATCGAGCTGCCGGGGCCGGAATCGAGTGAATGCGGGCCTCTGATTGGTGGCCTTGTCAGCCTGGCCGCTGGCTCGTCGACTTTATCAGCTGCCAACAGGTGAGAATGGGAGAGTTGGCGTGATGCACAGTATCCGGCATGCACGTGCTTTGCAATAGCGACGGGGTGTCAACTGGGTGCCTCGCAGGCCGTTTGGGCCATGTCGCTGGTTTTTCTCGACTTGCGCCTGCGAGTTCGCCTTCCTTCTTGCTGGCAAAGCAAGTTCGGGCTCTCCCGCTCACTAAAGCGAGTGGACATCCTCTGATTTATTTGCCCTACTACTAATTAGCCCGCCTCGCGACCGCGGGGTTGCCCTGTAATTAATTCTTGCACCGCCATTAAGTTTCGTGCGCCACGACGAGAGAACCCCCTTGACTTGAGTCAAAGAGTCTTGAACTACCGCCGTCGCTTACAGCTTCAGTCGTCAAACTCTTTCGCTCTCTCCGTCTGTCTCTCTCGTCTGCCTTTTGTAAATCCTGTTCTTTTTAATTCTCCTTCACTCTTTCGGAATCTTTCGTAGTTCGAGCCCGGGCTTGTGTCTCTTTGCAAAATGTCCGACGACGAGGCGGACCCTGAGCTCCTCGAGCTTCTCCGCCAGCACTTCCAGGGAAAACTCGACATCGCCCCCGAGCCGGAGACGGGCGTCCTCGAGACCGTCGAGCATGTCTACGACAGTTGCATCGACGTCGCCATTGACATGCGCGCCTCCAAGAACGCCGCGGAGAGCATCTACTTGCAGATGCAGGAAAAGAGCTACTCCACCGCTACATGGTCGGAGCACGAGCTGCATCCGCAAGCCAAGGACGAAACCACAGTGGCCTTCATCTTCACCATGGACCTGTTGAACTTCTCTTTCTGGTCCGAACTCCCCGACGACGAGAGGTTTGCTGTCGAGTACCGCGGGGAGAGGTGGACGGGGTATTGGAGCTTGGTTGCGTCGCTTCAGCGGGCTCTCAAAGAAGGTCAGTCGCCTTCTCTCATAGAAAGCTGTTCTCGTAGTTGACGCGGACGTTGGATTCGTAACTCAAGGCATTCCCATTACGGACCCTAATTACTGGCATAACGAGGACGAGTGCAACCTAGAGTCCTTGAGACATGTGTTCAGATCATGTACTGAGGAGGAGATGCCTCTGCTGCAAGAGCGCCTCGACTGTCTCCGAGAGGCTTCCCACGTTCTCTACAAGGCAAGGCCTCCAACTTTCTTTCTTTTTTTCTTTTCAGAGATTCTAACACATAACCAGCACTACGACTGTTCCATCACGAACCTCGTTGACGCTGCTGACTGCTCAGCCGCGCAGCTGGTGAACCTACTGGCCGAAGACTTCGACTGCTTCCGCGACGAGCATCGCTTTGAGGACGGCAAGATGATTAGGTTCCTTAAGCGTGCCCAGATCCTGGTTGCCGACCTTTGGGCTTGCTTCAACGGCGAGTCCTATGGCGAATTCCACGACATCGACAAAATCACCATGTTTGCCGACTATCGCATTCCCCAGATCCTCATCTCTCTCGGTGCACTCTACTGCTGTCCTGCCATTACAATGGCTATCAAGGACAAGAAGAATATAGAAAGCGGATCGACATGGGAAGTCCAGCTGCGCGGTAAGTGATGTCCGGATGAGACGCGAATGGCCAAGACTGACATATGCCAGCTTGCAGCATTTGGTGTGTAGAATTGATTCGGCGCGAGATCAAGAGGAAGCATCCCGATGCTCATGTCAACGCCATCTTGATCGACTTTTTTCTCTACGACCACGTGAAGGAGCTAGAGGCCGCTGGCAAGGAAGCAATCCCACATCATCGGACGAGGAGCATATGGTACTAGTACATGCCGCAAGGCATACGATATCGATTCTCAAGCCCGCTTTACCACGTTCCATTTGCATATAGACATGATGCTTTACAATCAGCCGCATCGGGTTGGTAGAATAGATAGTATAAAGACAAAGAGCCTCACAGGCAAGCAGTTCATAAACCTCCCGAAAACGCCATAGCTCCCCGAACCGAACCACACTCCCAAAGCCAGAAATCATTGTCCCACGGTCGCCGGGTTGAGGATCTCGTCCATGTGAGCGACGCCAATCTTCTTATTGCCCTTTGTCTCTTCCTTGAGTAGCACGGCAAGAACTTCGATTGGGGGGTTCAGACCAAGGCGCTCAGCTCGTTGCCAACGCTTCATACGAGGTAATCCGATGCAAGGCTACGGAGGTTAGACAACGGAGCAACCCGAATCTGAGGAATTGGTGAATGACTTACCCCATACTGTGAGCTCACATCGAAATATCTCAAGACCTTCTCTTGCAGGGAGAGGCCCTGCTGATGCAATCGTGGAGAGCTCCACTGGCCCTCAATGGCTTTCCAGTACTTCTTGATTTGCGCATCGGTGATTTGCTCTGCCTTTAACTCCACCTCGGGCTTCTCGGGCACTGCCTCGACTTCGGGCACAACATCTTCCTCTTCCTCTGCTTCGACATCCTCCGTTTCAGGCTCCTTGGTCTCGGGCTCGTCGATGACGACCGTTGCAAGCTCTTCTTCCTTGGTTTGTTCGGTTGGCTCAGAGACTTCGACCTTGGCGACGGATGGAGAGATGATGGCCTTCTTGGTATCCTTGGGTACGCTCTTCGTCACCTTGTTCGAAAAGCTGAGGAGAGTCGATTGGCCTTTGGCAGGCACCCCTCGGGCACCGCCAGTAGATCTCCGGGTCGTAGGCATCTTGATGGATAGCTGCGAACGAAATGCAGGTGTCGGCGTGAGTGGGGTAGAGATTGATGCTGCAGTAGCGAGTGTCTGTACAACCCTGCTTCGGCAAAAGATTCCTTGGAAGAGTGGATATGCGACTGATCTACCTCCAAGAGAGATTGTTAAAATATGGCATGGGATGATTCTGGGATATAATGTTGGGAGCCTGTGATGATGAACGCTATGGTCAGCACAGGTATGACGGAGTACAACCCTGAACTTTGGCGGGGCAACGCGAGATTGAAGCGCGGTCACGTGGGACTGTACACAGTGCGAGAGAGATGTGGGCGGCATCAAATGGAGCCTGAAGTCTCAGAGTTTTTATTGCTTGAGATGTACGCCATTGTTCATATGGATGCTTGGTTTGATCAGGATCAGTGCTGAGACGCCATCGCTTCCTCGCAGCCTTGGAGACCCGGTCAGAAACAGACGGATACGTTGATGCAGTCACAGATGACCGATTTCCGAAGTACCTACGCACGGTATGCGCAGTCAGAAAGTACCAGCATCGTACCGGCAGCTTCGAAAGTCCTTAGCGAATAGTTTTGAGAGGCTCAGCCACAATGCAACCCAAAAGCCTCGGTGGCGCAATTGGCTAGCGTTTCTGGCTTTTATGATAACCCAGCATGGTTCCATACCAGGTGGTTGCGGGTTCGAGCCCCGCCCGAGGCTCACACCGCTTTTACCTTTTTGTCGTGCCGGCAAACGGCAGAAAGAAGCACCAGCCTCAGCACCAGCCTCAGCAACACGAGACTGAAGCGCGTCACGTGCCAGTCCACATCTTCTCTTCAATCTGGACCACGGTGCGAAGTAATGTCGTATGAATGACTGTGATAAATGTTTGGGTTTGCTTTTATAGGACCGCTGGGAAAGTCCTTCTACTTTGAGCCGTCTCTTTAATTCCCGGTAGCCTCCCGATAGAATGAAAGGCTTCTGTTCGCTCCCGCCGTGACGAACATCTCACTTCTCACTGTCTTGGGAAGCCACTTCACTGACCACAACGCCTTGTCTGTCTCACTGTGCGTAGCAACACAGGCGTTTCGCTCGATCGACCACACCTTGACCTTGCCATCCATCGATCCGCTGAGTAGAAACTCCCCGGTGTCACTCCAGTCAACAGACGTGATCCATGAAGAGTGGCCAGTCAGGTTCCCGATATGTTCTCCATGCTTCATGTCGTAGAGCGCAATAATTCCAGCGTCACCAGCAGCAGCTAGACGGGTGTTTCCTGGCGAGAAGGCCACCGATCGCACCGGCTTTGCAAGACCTATAGAACAACCTGGTTAATTTCAACTTGTCGACTGGAAGACGATGTGTCACGTACCTGACAAGGAATACAGGACTCGGCCTGTGTCGTTGTTGAAGATGTACACTGCTCCATTCTGGTGACCGCTGGCAGTGTATTTGCCATCGCGGCTCAAGTCCACGCACATCCCGAAGATTCCAGAGCCAGGGCTTCCGGTCTCGTACTCTCGGATCTTTGGTTTGCTCTCATCGGAGACATTCCAGACGTTGATTCGTCCATCGTTGGTTGTCGAAGCCAGGTATTTGCCGTCCTCGCTCAACGCCAACGCCCACGCCTCACCAGTCTTGGCTGAGGGACCCGTGATTTCACCGCTAAGACTCCATTCCCCAGTGTCCTGGTTCAGTGCCCAGACCTTCACCTCGCCTCCGAACCCAACGCTGGCGGCGACATTGCCACTCCGCGATGTGCAGACATGGTGGCAGCCTAGCTTGTGGGCATCGGAAATGGACTGCTTCAAAGGGAACGAGGAATCCGTAGAGTCGTGGATATGCAACGTCGAAGAGCCACTGGCCGAAATCACAGCCTTTGGTGTTGTGGCCACGGAAAAGATGTCGGTGATGTGGGCTGTGAGCTCTCAGTAAGCTTGCTGTCCAGGCGCTGCACTCTCCCGCGGTGGCGGGGTAGTCAAGGGTGACTGACCATTATCCACGGTATGTGTGGTTAAGTATTGCTTGGACTGAAATGTGGTATGAGATGAGAGCATTAATCTCGGATTTGCGCGTGCTTACCATTGTGTACACGTTCAGACGTCTCTTGGAAATGACGTTGTGTTGGAGTGAAGAGAGATTCTAAATGCGACAAGTTTGGTGGGGCTTTTTTGAGGTCACCACTCTGAACGACGGAAGTTGAGCAAAACAAATCACACCCGCCAGACCGCAAAATGCACATTTCTAAGGGTTCCAAAGAAGAGGCGTATTTCTTTGATATCATGGTCGTTTCCTTTATCCAAGTATGTTACAAAGTTTACCGACGACCTCGGAGAGGTAAGATACGAGTTAGTCGAGAGATCTCATATTCACGACACGTCATCTGTATAGGCATGGTACTTCATTGGTATCAGTTGGCTTTTGTTTGACAATATTGATACAAGGCCTTAAGGAGCCCAAACGCCCATGGTATGCACGATTCCGTGGAGGCTATACAGGCTGTTTAATACAGGTGTTGGTAGATCTTTGATATTTCTCTCGTTCTTCATCTTAAAACGGCCTGTCATTCGGGTAGTCCTGGCGCCAAATTCTCTTCATTTCTAGACTGTCTGTCAGCATCGATATCCAGGGAAAGATAGTGCAGTGTCGTCCTTACCTTCCAAGCACGTTTGACATAATCGATGTGTTCGCTTGATCTCGCCGCACCCGGGACACCGACAAAGGTGATTCACATCTTTCAGCGCCTTTCCGGCCATTTGCCTAGATCTCTTTTTTGAGTGGGAGACTTTGTTCTTTGGCACAGCCCGCAGGAGGCCATCCCAGATATCATCGAGAGTCGGCAAGTTGAGAGACAGGCCGGGAATTGCGATCGACAGCGCGGGGAAGAGTTTTTGGGTGAACTGGCGGAAGGAGAGAGTAGCCCGTCGCGAAGAAGCGAGGAGATTCGGGGCAGAGAGTCGAGGGAGAAGGGAGGCTGAAACGGTGGCCATCGTGACGGTAGTGAGGAAGCAAATAATTGCTTGCTTGGTGGTGCTATGACGAGGGTGCGATGGATTCGGGTCGACCGCAGGGGTGGGTTCGGAAGACTCGAGTCACCTAGAGAGTCGTCGAATCGCTAGGCCGGTGCCTCGATGCACAATTGCGCAGTTCGTGATTGGCGGGCGGGTTCAATTCCTCAGTCGTGAGGTCTCGATGCTCAATCCGTGTCAGGCGTTCCAGTTGTCAAAAGTCTGAAAGGCTGGCGTCTCCATTTCCTCAAAGTGCCGACGGGCCAATCAAGGGCTATTGGGCGCACGGACCGCGGCTGGCCAATGAGCAGCTCCAAACGCGCCTTCCCCCTTTCTTCCGACCCCTGGCACCTCCCTTCTAGTACGGAAATTGTTGTTTGCTGGTGGCAGGAGCAGACCAGTGCCCGAAAAGTTCCCCTAGGATCCATCCGACGCCGCCTCTTCTACTTATCCTTCAACTTGGACCTCGCTGCCCTTCACCAACGTCACCTCGACCGAGCCAAACTTGCGATCGCGTATTCCTCCTGCATCGACAGCCAGTCTTTCTTGGAATAGACCAGGACTTTCGCATCTGCATCGACAGCTTCACATCTTACGTTTCCTCAACCGAAACGACCAACTGTCCCCCGACACCTCCTTCAAGATGGCGACCGTTCCCCCCAGCACCATCACTCCCAAGAGCCATGTCGGTTTCGACAGCATCACGTCTCAGATCGAGCGCAAGCTCCTGAAGCGTGGTTTCCAGTTCAACGTCATCTGCGTTGGTAAGTCCAGCTCATCGCGCTCGCCGTTCACCGCCGTCATCACCCCATGGGCAAACTGGCCGCGTGTTCAAACCCGTCTGCCAATACTGACTTCCGTCCGCGTTTCCTAGGCCAGACCGGAATGGGCAAGTCGACCCTGATCAACACCATCTTCGCTTCCCACCTTATGGACTCCAAGGGCCGTCTGCAGCCTGAGGAGCCCATCCGCTCCACCACCGAGATCCAGGCTGTGTCCCACATCATCGAGGAGAACGGTGTCCGACTGAGGCTCAACATTGTCGACACCCCCGGGTATGGTGACCTGGTCAACAACGACCGCTGCTGGGACCCCATCGTCAAGTATATCAAGGATCAGCACTCCGCGTACTTGCGCAAGGAGCTCACTGCACAGCGAGAGCGCTACATCCAGGACACCCGCATCCACTGCTGTCTCTTCTTCATTCACCCCTCGGGCCACTCCCTGAAGCCCATCGATATTGTCGTGCTGAAGAAGCTGTCGGATGTCGTCAACGTTGTTCCCGTCATCGCCAAGGCTGACTCGCTGACCTCTGAGGAGCGTCTTGCCTTCAAGGAGCGCATCAAGGAGGAGTTCGCTTTCCACAACCTCAAGATGTTCCCGTACGATAACGAGGAGTTTGACGACGAGGAGCGTGCCCTGAACAGCCAGATCAAGGTAAGTCTCCTGCGGATATGACAAGTTGGATATGTGACTGATCCCATAACAGAGCCTCGTACCCTTCGCTGTCGTCGGATCGGAGAAGTCGATCATCGTCAACGGCAAGCAGGTTCGAGGTCGCCAGAACCGATGGGGTGTTATCAACGTCGAGGACGAGACTCACTGCGAATTCGTCTACCTCCGCGACTTCCTCCTCCGAACCCACCTCCAGGATCTTATCGAAACCACTTCCCAGATCCACTACGAGACCTTCCGTGCCAAGCAATTGCTGGCCCTGAAGGAGAGCAGCGCTCATGGTGGTGCCAGCAGCAGACCCATCAGCCCTGCTGCTGACCGGGAGATGAGCCGAAACTCGCAAAGAATGACGATGAACGGCTACTAAGTCGACGCTTTTGCTTGAACTTGTGCTGGCGAGGTAGCCACGGCGTCTCTGGGTGACAGGATAGCCGGCAATTCTTACGACTTTTTCAATCTCAAACGCCCTCACCGACAGCAAAGAAAAAAATCATTTTGGTCTTGGCATCGGAGGGCGTAGAGAGGCGAGACCATGACAGGAGCAAGTTATTGAAAGGGAGGGAAAACGTGGTGGTGCCAGTAAAGCCGCACATCGTCAACGTCAGGAAGGACATCCTGGCTAACGATTTGGGACACGTCTGCATTCTTGACCACCTCGATTTCAGCCGGACGCGTTCACACTTTTTTGATTTGATTTCGTGTTACCCCCAGAGAGTTCTTTTTCCCATTTTTTATGCTTTAATCAGATCGGTTACCCCATGCTCGAATAGAGTGTTAGTTTCGTTAGGTTGCCTTTGAAACCTCTGAGGGGCATAATAGGCAAGCGTTTTATTGGTGTACACCACTCCAGTTCCTTCGGTCCCTTACCGTGATGTGATGTACTTGAGGACATGTGAAGTCCTTGGAAGTAGCGACAGAGGGGAGGTTCCAAGAAAATGATACCCAACGTAGGGCCCCAAGTTACATGCGAATAATATCTCGATCGTTACTAAAGCCTAGAGTTCTGATAGTAGACCGAGGTGCTGACTTATAGCGCGACTGCGCTTAATCGCTGGTCTTGTCTGAGTGACATCACACCCTGAATGTTTTCCGCCAGGAACCGAGTTTTTAGTTTAGGGTAGGGATTGTTGAAACAACCCGCCCCTCGCTCTCTTCGTAGTCAGGATTTGTTTTTGACGTACGTACATCCGTCGAATCATGTTATACTTGTATCTTATTTCTGCCTATATCTCTATTTATCCGGGTTGAAACGATTAT